GCCGGAGTCTGGTGGTGGGGGTGGGGGGCAGGGACTGCGGGTGAGGGTGCGAGGGTGGTGAACAGTGACAGGGGCCGGGGTTCGCCAGTCCCCGGTCCGGTGGTCGGCCGTCCCCGGGCCGGGGATCTGGAGGCGGGGACGAGGACGAGGACCCCGGTTTCCGGGAGGGGATCCCCACATGACAACCCTGGTTTCCACATACCCTTGAATATTGAACAAATCCGGAAAAGGAGACGCCAGATATGCTGCCAAAATTTTATTGCCTCCAACGTTCCCAACAAGGAGAAAGAGCAGGATGTGAAAAACGTCCATCCACATAAACGCGCCTGTGTTCTCCTGAGTACGAACACTCTGGGCATACGTATAGAACGACGGGAACTAAAACAACTAAAACATTTCACAACAACTTAACAAAGCTGAATTGCATGGAACCATCCATCCGATGAGAACTCAAAAATTCTGAGATGCAAAAGCCTGCAGGAGACCAGTCATAAATATAAGTGGAGTCGGAAGCAGAATGACAAAGCTTAGATCGCACAGAGTTACGTTTTTTTGTGGCTGAGGAGGTCAGGCTAGAAGGAAAAGGAGAAGGAAAGAATGAATGTTGAGCACTGTACGCAACTCTACTCTACAAGGCTCAGAGCTCATTGTTGAGCATTCGTAGTTACGGAGTCTATAGGCAAGAAGGTCGACAAGCAAGCCACCAGACACAACCTTTAAGCTGCCACTCCCCCCGACAGCCGAAAACCCTCGGCCCTGTGAGTTAGGGCCGGGTTCTACGGAAGGGCGGCGACCGTTCGTCATCGGCGGGTCCAATCCCGCCATTTGAAAGCCACAACTTTGGCGATTTTTCATACTCAGAACAATTCTTCAAAAATTCTGAAAATGTGAGGGTCCGTAGATTAGGTCGTGATCTTTCAAGGAAAAATATCAGAATAAATAAATAAAATCATTTTGACGATAATCACCGCGCCGATTCGGCGCATTTCCATTTTTTAAACTCAAATTCCATTTTGCAATTCACCCAGTTTTTCACTCTATGCTACCGGTACCCCATGTGAAACGGCGCTACCGGTCCCCCGAGGTTTTTGACGTCAGCAGGAGTGGCGGTGCAAGCATCTCCAGCACTACTCGGCAGACCTTTTTTTATTTATCATTGATACATTATTAATTTATTAATTTATTATAGTAACAAGTTGAAAAACTGCAAATTTAGTAGAAGGTTTCCTCACCTCGGGAGTTGATAACCCGTTCACCTCTCCGGACACACTTCACATGCAGCTTGAAGACAATAGTGTTCTTCTCGCTGGCAAGCTCCTCATCTATATAGACATGCAATGTTGACACAAAAAATAGCAAATGCGTCGCAGACCCCCCCCCCCACTCTTCCCCACCCCGCCCCCAAGCCGCCACACACACAAACCCCACTGGAGCATTCTTAAAGTGTCTCAGCTTGCAACTGGCCTGTACATCATGCAAACAGAACAAAAACCATAGGCCACTCATAAACCTGCAGGCTCCGAGGTTTAAAATTTTAGGTTTTAGGCCCTTTAGGGTCTTTTACACCTTACACTTTAGGGTTAAGGCTTGTGCATCTTACACTGTAGGGTTTAGGTTTTTACAGCCTGCATTTTAGGGTTTAGGTTTTTACAGCCTGCACTTTAGGGTTTAGGTTTTTCAGTTTACACTTTAGGATTTGGGCTTTGGGGTTAACGCTTTTACATCTTACACTGTAGGGGTTTAGGCTTTTACAGCCCAGATTTTGGGGTTTAGCGGTTTTTCAGTTTACAGTTTAGGGTTCAGGCTTTTACAGCTTACACTCTAGGGTTCAGCCTTTTGGGTGTAGGCTTTTGAAACGTACATTTTAGGGTTTAGGCTTTCACAGCTTGTACCCTTTGGGTGTAGGCTTTTGAAACGTACATTTTAGGGTTTAGGCTTTCACAGCTTGTACTTAGGGTTTCGCCTGAAGGGTTGCTGAGAATACTCTCGAAATTTGTGAAGGCAATCTTTTGCACACTTCAGGGGTGCAGAGAGGGTCCAGTGAGGTTCAGATATCCCCTGCGCTTTCAAAACGTAGATGGCCTGGTCCGCTGCACAGGCCTGTCCGCACCTGTATCATCCTGTATCGGACCGCAATCACAGCATAAGGGATGTTTTTTCTTTTTTTTTTCTAATTCTTCATTTGTTATCCGTCGAACAAACGCCCTCACTGAGGGCACAGTCACACTACCAACTCATAGAATGTATCTGATGGCCATCACGGCGTTAGGGAAGTTTCTTTTTTTTTCTTCTTCTTCTCTTGTCTTGTTCTTTCTGGGATGTAACTGCGCTGAGTACCAGGAAAAAAAATACAATGGGAGCCAGGCTCGTTAAAACTCGGTGCGCAGTGATATTCAAGTTCGGCAAAAACAGGATTGGAGGTAGTGGTGGTTTAAGGTTTCTCTTTTATTTCATTTCATTTTATTTCTCCGTTCATCTCTCTCTTACTGTGCCTCACACACACACACACACACACACACACAGACATATATGTGAGCCTTGTTCTTCGTCTTTTGAAAGAAATCATTCTGGTACGATGGGGGAGGGGGAACAAATCCCCCTACCAATCAGCTGAGCCGTGTAGAAAACAGAAAGTCATGTGGTCTTATTTGAAGTTATTTCACAATGTGGCCCTTTTTTCCATGCCTCAAAGGGGATGGAGGGGGAAGGGAGAAAGGGAAACCAAGCCCTTCACTTTGACATACATAACCGTTTAAAACAGCTGAACAACAAATGCAGCTCTTGCCGATCATAACAGAAAGGGAGACCTGCATGACATTACCAATTTACCAGTCCATATGTCACGACAAAAGAGGGCAAGCACAAACTGTACTCCGTTCAACACACGTGTTTTAAACATCTATCTATCTATCTATCTATCTATCTATCTATCTATCTATCTATCTATCTATTTATAGTAAGACGTGACTGCCAGAGAATTGGATTAAGAACATGCCTTATCATGAAAAAAACGAGGTTGTGTTTCCTGGACCACCCCACCTTCCCTGCCTTACCCCGCCCCAAGCCCCCTCCAACCCCCCACCCTCTCTCTCTCTCTCTCTCTCTCTCTCTCTCTCTCTCTCTCTCTCTCTCTCTCTCTCTCTCTCTCTCTCTCTCTCTCTNCTCTCTCTCTCTCTCTCTCTCGGCATCTCCCTCTCTCTCCTGTCTGTCGTCCCTTGACAGCCACAACTACAAAGAAAAAACAGATGAAAAGCTGCATACCTGTTTTAAAATCAAAGCGGCGAGGATCTGCTTTGAGCGGCACAAGGCCTAGCCTATGTGATAAGACCTCATCTTGGATTATAGACGTGTTGTTCGCAATGTAAACTTTCTCGATGGCCATCATAGGAACCTGGGAGCCACGTTTCAGTTCAACAAGACGACAAGTCAGATGAACGTCCACAACCACAAACCACTGTCCACATAAAACACATTGCACACGCACAATCACATCACCTGTGCATCTCATTTACATGCACCTGACAGCAGGCAGACACACTACACAAAAAAAACAATGCACACATGCATGGATGGAGCGATGCATTGCGAGTACGGATGGAACAATTCATGCCCAATAGGCAACTGAGGTAGAACCAAAGGGCATGCGGCATGAATAAAGTCATTGAGCTCCTGCGAGTATACGTAGCAAAACCCATCGTCTGATCAGGGGGACCCGTCAAAACCTACGTGCCACCAGGCTGCTCGGAATGGCTACTATTTTCAACAGGATTACTATTGACGCCGCTGTCATTTTCAACCGGTAAGTCATAATGGCTTCCATTGTGAATCTGTTGAAAATGGAAGCGCTATCGGGATCCCATTATGGGCTGGGATCCCACCGAACTTCCAGCGCTAGTAAATGGACGCTAATGGGATCCCATTGCAAGCTGGGATCCCACCGAACTCCCGTCACTGACGGCTTCCATAGCAATGAACGATAATGGGATCCCAATAGAAGCTGGGATCCCACCCACCTCCCAGTGCCACCTCAGCCGCGTCCTTCAATAAAAGGATCCACGCATAACGAGAAAAGCCTGTACACAAAAAAAACAGAGGTACAACGCAAACGCAAATGGAAATGGAAATGGAAATGGAAACAGAACCAACGAGCTTAGCTCAGTCGGTATACCCACAAACTGTTGAATACGAATCAGACCCAAGTTCGAATCCAGATACAAACGGATGGCCAGAACAAAATAATTCTGGATTACCTGGCGCCGGTCAGTTCAACGATGATATCTGACGGCCACCGCCCTTTTAAAAGAAATGGAAATGGAAATGGAAATGGAAATGGAAATGTGAGCTGCATACATCTTTTTGCCATAACATTGAGAACTTCACATAACACAGCATTCAAGAGGGATCACAACAAAAATTGCGTAAGGTTCCAAGGAGGTGAAAACAAAAACACCACTCTAGAACCTTACCCAATTTTATTTCCTAGCTGGACATGCAACAACGACATCGAGTAGAGAAAGAGAGTGGAAGAAACTCGACGACAGAAAGGGGGGGGGGGGAAGAAAAAAGAAGAAAAAAACACGACGGAAAAAAAGGATCGCAAAGGTGCAAAGAGGCGAATAGTCTAGACGAGACGGGGGAAAGGCAAGGGAAAAGAAAGAAAGAAAAAAAAAAAAAAAAAAGGCAATACCCACCTCCGCAATAAGAATGCGTCGAAAAGCATTGGCAATTGCAGCATCGATTCCAATCAAATCAAAAACCATTTCCTCATTCGTCAACTTCTTGACCTCAACTCTCAAGTTTTTCTGAAACTCTTCCATGTTCAGACTGTTGTCCACACCTAGAGACATGTACACTCCAGAGTAGTGTGTTCCCTGCGCCTGCAGAGATGATACCCACATGCCATTCATATCACAACATAACAGATCAGCTAAAAAACACAAACATAAAGAGAATAATTCACAAATAACAATCATATCAGGGTAGCCGACATTTGGGTTCGGCCCAGCAGCCGAACCTGAACGCCGAACAGCTGAACTTTCAGGACCCCCAGCCACAAGTTCGGCCCGAAATTGAGTTTTTTTATGTTTTTCTTTTTTTTTCGATGTATTGCAAAGGGGGGGGGGGGGGGGGGGGGGGGGGGGTCTTCACACTACATATTTTTTAATTAAAAAAAAAAAAAAACCTGGGCAAGGAGGAGGCAGTTGGTCTGCCGAACGGCAAGAACCCCTCTCCTGCCATGTGTTTGTGAGCGTGTGTTGTCATGACGTGTGTGAAACACATATTGCGTACGCCTCAGTACATTTCCCCAATATGTGTTTCACACACACCCGGGAAATTAAATGCAATTACATCAAAGGATGAATGCACGCACTCCACACCACCATCACCGCACCACAGGACATTTCTCCACTCAGTAGGTATCTCCTCGATCATTCGCATTCATCCTTTCTTCCTTTCATCCTTTCATTTAATTTCCCACGTCGAAGGAGATGATCGCACCTCGCTGTCTCCTACCTATCCTCACTTGTGCCGGCGTCCAAAATCTTTTTTTTTAGTTGTTCTTTTAAAATTTGGACCATTTCTCGATTTATGCGTGTCATCCTTGAAGGCGCAGGGGCCATGCTAATTTTCTTTCTCTGTATCGTTCCAATCCTTTTAACGGATGTCCCGAAGGACAGGTGTCCAAAATCTTACATTCTTAAATAAACCAAATCGACATCATATGCATCATCCCTCCGAGAGGAAACACGGATGGATGCATCATGCATCATTCCTTCCGCAACAAGATACAATAAACTAATCTGTATCGTTTTTTTGGGATTGAAATGAGACACAATGTAAGAAGCTTTCAACGTCTCAAATTGAATGAACTGCCATCGCCAAAAGGTTCAACAGACATGCAGTATGATCGTTCCCAATTCTTTTTTTTTTCTTTTTTTTTTCTTTTTTTTTTTGGAGCTACTTAGGAAATTACTGCGACAAACTTCAGAAATAGACAAAATTCAGAAAACGACTGATCGTTCCCAATTCAACCGTTCGCCCTGTTACATGTCCAATTGAATGAACTGCCATCGTCAAAAGGTTTATTTAACCACTTCATCCTCTCTCCTACCTCCTCCCATTCCTAAGCACAGGTTGCTGCTCCTCCTCAGCTACTACATTAAGACAGCAGTTTGTTATCCGTAAAACTCCCAAAACAATTCTGCTGCAGGTAAGCTATTTGTCCAATTACTAAGCAAGTCTGCACAAAACTTCACGCCATCGTTTCCATAGCTCCAGCCCAATATGCATCGCCCGTATACACAACAATCCCACATGAAGCGACAACAGAATATATACGACTCTTGTCTACAGCATGAATCGGAGGAGATCAACAGAAACTTAATCTACAGTTCAGTTCGCTCATCACAGAGACCATAAGCCGACGAGGAGTATTTCCCATTCATGACACCCACAACCCAATCACTCAAAAGAATTGAACACGAATGTCGACACCAACCCGCGCCCGCGCATCCTAACTGTAGCATCCTTGCCATATGGCAGGTTGCCCCTCCACAAACAGTGACCCCAAGCTATCTGTACCCCTGCTCCCCGTTGCTATCTTAAAGATCCATCCAGATCATCGCCAACTCGCTTCATATAAGCGTCATGCCTCCACCATTTTTCTCTGTCAACCGACCGCGACGTATTACTACCCCCACCAGTACCTTTGGCGTCCGGTTTCGACAAGTCCTGGCCAGTAGCCGAACTTTCAGGAGGCCGAGCCCGACGTTGATCAATCTGATCGGCGGCCGTCGTTTCGTTTCGGCCTCCTGAAAGGTCGGAGGCCGAGTATTTTCGAACCGACAAAGGTACTGGCGGCTCATAACTTATGATGTTCGGCCACTCATCCTTCCCTTCTCTGTTTTCCCCGATGCGCCACATCATTCCTCCTGGTACCACATCATCTATGTCGCATACATTACCCTCCCCTTTGCGAGATTCAGTCCAGCGGAATTCAAATGAGCCACACGTCGCAACCCCCCCCCCCCCCCCCCCCCCCCCCTCCCCAACAAGTGTTGGTCGCTCCACAACCTTAAACATTACCTTGCCTGGAACCATTCAATCAATACATAGAAAGCTCTCACGCCCAAACCACGTAGCAGCAATGATAGCCCCATCCCCATAACTCTTCGAAGAAGATGCAGAATGAAACGCAGAAGAGGTGGAAAGAAGAGGGGAAAGAAAAGGGGAAACAGAATACTAAGATGGAGACGAGAGAGAGGGAGGGAGAAGAGGAAATCTACAACATCAAGGGGCCGAATCAGACTAAACTCGCATGCCGATCATGACACAACCGATACAGTGGCATCAACACCCAAGGTAAGCGGATGGCCTTAATTAATGTTACTAATCATCATCATTAAAATATTATATTATTTTACATTAACGGTTCTCACAGCATTCAGTTCACTCCCCACTTTACCACGGCAAGGGTAGGCGAGAGAAAGCTTGCGTAAAACTTGGCTCGGGTGGTGGCAAACATCCCTCAACAAGTTTTTCGCTACTCATAGTCTTGCCACAGACTAGCTCGTCAGCGGTCATCCAAGATCGGATAGCACAAAGTAGTACGCAGGGTCAGCCATGTATGAGAACCATAAAAATATATATATATATATATCGTCACAAATAGAACTGCCCGGTAAACCGTAGGCAGAGAGAGAGAAGAGGACAACAAACGAGGGGCTGTGACAAACTGTTTCGT